AGTTGCGCCTCTGCCTGTGAATTACATATATGTACATACAAAAAAAAATATGTTAGCAATAAATTTCACAAATTGTACATATGTATTTCCATGCACATTTCTTAAAAAAAAAAATACTTAGTTACTCATACGCCCCACCTGTCGTACCTGCACAAAGCGAAATATCTCCAACAGCATCTCATTCGAAGTCTTACAATTTCCACTAGGCTGCGCATCGAAGAAGCCAGCCGCGCCGCTACCCACACTACCACCACTGCCGCCCACTGAACGTTTACCCCAATCCGGTGAGAAGGTTAGCTGCAAANTCTCCAACAGCATCTCATTCGAAGTCTTACAATTTCCACTAGGCTGCGCATCGAAGAAGCCAGCCGCGCCGCTACCCACACTACCACCACTGCCGCCCACTGAACGTTTACCCCAATCCGGTGAGAAGGTTAGCTGCAAAAATATAACAACTCTATTACTTGACATTCCAAGCGACGTATTTCGTCAATCAATCAAAGCACCTGACAGTGGGCTACAGCCAAGACTAGCAAGCATAGAGCTGCAAAAAGTTGTGTGCGCGTTGAGAACATCTTCGGAACTGTGCTGAGTGATGCTTGTTCATCTGGGTTTTATCTCGGTTTTTATAAGAAACAAGCAACATACAGCCGCCGATATCCTTCTTGCATTTAAGTGGTGATACGGGTAGTCTAGCTATTCAATTAGCCGCATACTTATTTGGCTTCCTTGATAATAATGTACGTATGACGCAATCGAGTTCGATTAAAAATAGCAGAAAATGGGTGGCTTATATAATTACATATATATGTATGTATTCCATTCTTATTTCTGTTTTTTTTTTTAATGTAATCTTGCGAGGTGGTGACGTGTGAAAACTATTCTTTCTAGAGGAGAGTTGCTTTAAAAAGTCCTTTAAAAGGTTCGTTCGCTACAGTTGGAAAGCTATTATAGACAGCGAATTAATTTAATTTCAAGACAGATCCAATTACTATGTATAGACGTTTTCTTAAATAGACGCATCTTGGCTGCTCGGAGATGTGCTTGATAAGATTTCCACTAAAGAAAGATCCGAGGACTTCTACGCATCTTTATTATTTGTATTTGGAATTTGCTAAGAACACTTTTGCGACATTCTCCATTCTTATGTACGCAAGCGACTGTTCAAGAGCAAAAACCTGTAGCTCAGAGTCAACTTTCTGCTACATCTGTCGTCTGTTCGAATTCTTAAATGGAAGAAAATTCTGTCTACAATTGCGGCCTAGAAACCGATCTTAACCGCTGGCTGAAATATCTCGCTCAGGCTGACGAATGGGTAAGCTGGCTCAAATGGTCTTACCACGTATATATGACGGTAATGATGAGGAACAGAATCGCAGACCACTTATAGGTAATGCGGAGTTGGTAGACCAGCTGAAGCCTCAGCAGCGCTTTAAGGGAAGAGGTCTCTGTAGCAAGCCAATTTCTGTATTTACTTGGGTTTGTCGTGTTTCAGCTGAAGTAGTATCCGGCTACCAAAATATAAGGTTCGAGTTCAAATGGGACGTGAGCTCTGCCCGGAAAGTCAAAGTGAGACCTTTTAAAAAATCTTAGGAATGTGAGAACTCAACTTCACTGAACTATATAAAATGAAATAAAGGTAACATCGAATCTGCTCAACGAAGCCCTGCTGGAATCCCCTCATGACTCATGACAGCACAGTTCTTGTTCCTCTTTGATGAAACGTAATTTTCTGTGGTGGGAGATGGAACCGGATGCAAAGCACAAACTTATCAGAAAGCTTCTCAACAGCCTTTAATAGAAATGCATTTGATAGTAGGGAATCTAGATTCATTGAGGGAAGGTTTGAATTGAAGCGATTTATATACATATGTAATTTGTAATACAGAGATCCTTCGTTACATTCACTGCGACAAGTACATGGCTACCACCAAGGGCTACAATAAACTTATTAGATGATTCAATCTGACTCTATGAGGTCTCTTCCTGAGGCTTCCCCATCTTCATAAAATTCTATCGATAGAGCCTTACTCCCAAGAAGGCAAGATGGCACATTTACTAACTGTGAGATTCTAAAATACTTGCTTCAAGTGCATTTCCCATATTCTTCGTCGAAACAAGATTGGTTTACTAGTTAGAGTCCTTCTAGCACTAATTCAGAGTAGCATTCATTCCATCCATCTTCTGGCCTGTTTTGTTCGGAGGAAGGCAACTGTCAAAAGACAGCTGGACCTATACATTTCTTAGTTTGCTTACTTGGTTAGTAAGATCAAAACGGTACTTGACTTTTTAGACCTCGTTCCACTTTTCATAACACTCTAAAGCTTCCTTTTGTCGTTCAATAAAAATGGACCAGTATAAATAGGAATTCAACCGGATAATATAAGTTTCTTGGCTGGTCGATTTCTCAGTCGATTTTTCAGTCGACAGAAATCGACCCGTATAAAGGCAGCTTAAGGATACAGCTCGATGGCTGTGGTTCAAATAGACATTGATTTCTCTACTGGGTCGGTTGTCGGATCGACACTTTCCTACGCGGACGCGAAATTACAATCATCCTTGGGCAATTCTTCTGTTAATATTAGGGTCATAAACGTCAGTTCCGCAAGGTAGTCACAGCTGGAGCGGCTCGCTTTATCGTAGTCTTTCAAACGAGCATGACCACCTACACCAGGTCGATTCCGCATATCTCCACATTAGGGTGTGTGAGTGATTCATTTGATGGTCACGCCTCGTCGGTCCCGAAGAGATGCGCGAGCTATTGTAGCCGGCAGTGATGTCAGAAGCTGCCAAAGCCAGTGGTATCGACAGAATTTGCATGCTGATGCCGTAAAGCGCAAGTTTCCCCGATCTCACATGCTGAGGATTGTTCGATATTGGCGTCCGGCAATTGAATTGATGCCCCCTGCTCGAAAGTAAACGGCTACTTCTCCGAAATTTCTTGTTTCTTCGCTGCGCTCTCCCCAACGAAATGGACGCGACGACGTGTGGTCGCCGGAGGAACGTAGGATGCGACGATGCTATACACCTGCTACCATTTAGCAATCCGAACAGCTATGGGATGACTTCTGATGTCGCCAGAACATCACTTGCATAGTGACTACATGCGCATGATGCAATTCTTAGTAAGTTGCAACAGACGCGAGCACCCGAACAGGCACTTGCTAGAGTCGGAACCTCCAAATAGGCACGCAAAAGGCATCTCTACGAACTACGTCGAAACAGCACGTTTCCTGGGCCAACAGTTAGTTGAGCTTGACGCCAACGATTGATGGACTTACCGTTTTAGGCGGGGCTACAACCGCTACAACAACGGGTTCTCCCACAGCCGAGAGAAGCCCTTTGTGCAGTTTTCCTTTCAATATAATTTGGTCAATTTCGATCACTTTGCTAATTTTTATAGAGTTCTAAAAAAATAGTGTATAAGCATGAAATATTTTTATTCCCGAATCATACTAAAAACATTTAAATACCATAGAAGGTGCCTTAATTTTTCATTTTATAAAATTAGACTTTATTTTTTAATAAACTTTACTTTTTTCTTTTACATGAATATGTATGTATGTAAATATATAACACTAAAATATTTTAAAATACAATATTAGTATTATACGTACAATATATGTATGTATGGTGTATGTGCTATAGTTATAACTGCTGCGAATAAAGCATACTGATTGAATTTAAATACATTTTTTCATTCCGTAAAAGTGTTTAGCGCTTACAGAATACATACATATGTAGCTATGTATTATATAATGTATAAAATAATAAATGACAACATAAAATATATACTGCACATGCAGGCAAACATATACTTATGGCTATATTATATGCAATCCTTGGGATGCTTGTGCACGCAATTTGTTTGTGAATTGCTTTTTTTATAAAAAAAAAATGTGCGATTTGGATATGCAAACACGTCAGTGAGTTTGTTTAAAAATAGGTACTTACTAATTTAAATACAACGTGAGAAGATTAACTGCAAAAGGTGATCAGCTGAGAATGTGTGTGCTTTCAAGATTCTTAATTTAACAAAATAAAATTGCTGTCAAGTGTGCTTAAATAATAAGAATTATATTTTTGTGCTAATTAAGCGTAGTTAGCGTGAATTATGTATAGTATCAAGATTGCGCAGCAGTTTTAACAAACTCATATGAGTGGCGACATTTTGACTTATCGACACACACAAGTGTACATACAAACATACATATAAACGTAGGCACTCGAAATTTATTCGTTTAATTTCACTGTTAGTTCCAACTTTTCTTCTAATTACTTGGTCATTAATTTTTTTTTTTGTTTTGTTTTTCGAATAACAATGATACAATTTTTAAATATTTTAATTATTATACTTTTTTTGACAATAATTAGCAAAAAATGGTTCTTCAATAGTAAGCATAAAAATACAAATCTCTTTTGGCATATTCGTAAACTTTTTCGCTATGCAATTTTATCACTTAAAATTATAAGCTATTGTTTTTTAATATAAAATACAAAATTCACACACTTAATAGTTAAGACAGTTAAATCGCTTGACGATGTAATTAGTTTATAAAATTCACAAACATTTTTTTTATATAAATGTACATACATACATACATATATACATATGTATGTACATATATACATGTATGTAAATTTATTTAATTGGTGTTTTTGAAGCCTTCGCATTTTTTTGCATTCAGCACAAATTTGGTTAACAACTTTTCGAATGACTTATTATTTTGATTAATACAAACAAGAAATTGAATTTTTTTGGTGGTATTCGATATTTTCGTTGGTTTTTTGAGGAAGAACATTAACATACTATGCTGATCGCTGGTGTGTAAATATTATGGACTCTGGTGGCTTTCATTAGAATTTCGTATTTGTACAATTGTTGTTGTAGCGTTGCACTATATTTCTTATGAATTCATATGAGTTGCATACGTGTACAACCGGATTTGAAGTGCTTTTTCTCAACTTTTTTTCTATTTTTTTCTTTTATTGCACTTGTGCCTCTGTTTGTCTAAGTTGTATGCGACTGCTTGTATGCAAACAACTGACATAGATTCATGCTTTCCTTGTGCTATTTTCGAAATATGTCTATATATTTTTGTTGTTTGGTTCATTGGCAGCTTTTGTTCTTGATCAACATCCATTATAAAATTTAAATTTTTCAACATTGAATTTCCTTTTTTTTGCTCTCTCTGCGTCATTCTGTATTTGTTTTTCTACTTTTTCCTAACGTGTGTTTTTTTTTTTTGCTATTACAACACGCAACATTTCCGCTTGCTCTTCCTATTGTAGCTCTCCTCCAAGAAGGGGCGTTCAGCCAATTGGAATTTTCGCACAATTCGTACAAGCTCATGAAAGGCTTGATCGACATTCACCCGCAACTTGGCGCTGCACTCAATATATGGTATCAAGAGATTTCTGCTAATGGTTTGTGCTTCATCTAGCGAAACTTGACGCTGTTGCTCCAAATCGCATTTGTTGCCAACCATTAGCATTGGAAATTCATCGCGATCCTTTACTCGTAGTATTTGTTTTTGGAATTTTGGTATTTCATCGAAACTGGAATGGTCGTTTAGGGCAAAAACCAGCAGAAACCCTTCCCCAGAGCGCATATACTGTTCACGCATGGCGCTGAATTCTTCCTGGCCGGCAGTGTCCAAAACTGTGGCAGAAGCGAAAGAGTGTTATTGCAAGAGTGTCTTTTTAGGTATTAATTTGAAGATACTCACTGTCTAACTTTGCTGGCACATCGTCGATGACACACTGTTTGGTGTAGGAGTCTTCAATTGTAGGATCATAGTCAGTAACAAAGTAGCTCTGGAATATAGAAGACAATTTTATAGTGTACATTTACTTAAAATATTTTGATTTTAAACATACTATACATATTTATATGTAATAACAATAAGGAACAACAGGTTAATTTTAGTATAATGTACGGTATATGATGCCAACGACTATACACTACTAGCAATATTGACAAATTCACAGTTCTAACTATAAATTACAGTTTTTAGACAAGCTTACAGTTTTTTTTTTTTTTTTTTTTTAATTACCTCCTACTACAAATAACAGTTTTTTGCGAAATTTCAGATTGAAATTTGTGGATTAAAATACTTTCTCGGATTTTTGGAAGTCAATTTTTACGATAAAAAGGGGCGATGAAGGTGCAGTGTTTACGCTTTTGAAACAAATGGCAAATGTGGTAAGAATATTTTTCAATATTTCTCTACAAAAACATATCTAAAATAAAACAAAAAGAAAAAGCTAGCCGAGTGGTTACTATTACGTCCTATCACTCAATATATTCAAAGTATATACAGTGACGAGCAAAACTGTAACATGGTGTAACACTTTTTAT